AGAACATCAACACAGAAATGCATTCCAAACTGCTCATCCCTTGCACTTGCGCTCGCGGTGGCCAAGGAAGGCACTGGGTGCAGGGACTGTCCCAACCTAGCTCTGATCACGTTCTGGAGTTGACAACAAGATGCTTCCCTGGCCAAGACGGTAGGGGACAAAGTGTGGCTGCCTCTGGCCTGGAAACAAAATTCTTTCTGCCCTTGGACCTGAGGGGTGACCGCAGCTGCACCCGGAGCCCAGGAAGTAGTGCTAGCAGGTCTGGGTTACATGGCCTGGGGGCTGGGGCCAGAGAGCAGCTCCCAGCAGGAGAGGAATTCCCGACACGTCAGTGCAAGGAAGCTGCTCTGTGATACAATCCTCAGTGCTGGAGACTGGAGCTTCAGTCTCTCAAGAGGAAAGTGGATGATGGTCTCGATGTCCTGATCTGGAGAATGGGCATATTGCAGATTTGCTGGTTCCAGGGAGTTTACCCAGCCAGAACTTTCCCTTCTTTCTAATGAAAGTTGCTTTCAGCTCCATTTTGTCTAGACAACTGAGTAAGAGTGGACTTCTCTGTTTGGGGAACTGTCCCATGACTGACCATTCCTGGTTGTCCACAGGTTAGCCTCGTGGGTCTTCATGTCCCCGGGGAAAGGATGGGGCAGGTTCCTGGGGGGCCTAACAAAACCAGGCCCCTCTAAGTGCTCACATGGAGGAGCAGGGAGTCCATTTGTTTGGGGCCAAGGAACACCTGGGAAGACAGGGATGGACACAGACCCCTTCCATGTTGAAGCTGGCATTCGTCTGTGGATGAGCACCTGCAGGAGAGGCTCACTGCTCGCAGTGGAGGGCTCCAGGAAGAAAGCTCAGGGGGTGGGGACGAGGTCAGAGTTGGTGACCTGGCTTATTCTCAGGGCATCTGTGTGCCTGGGCCCAGAGTGTGGCTGAGAGTCGAATTCCCCCTGGACTCAGCTGTCTCTGCCATGGTCACGCTGTGTTTGAGAACACGGCTAAGTTCAGAGATGTGAGCTGCAAGAGCTACAGCACCCTTGAAGCCTGACGCTGGGCACGTCCGAGGGCCAGGTGAAGGGCCCATCACCGCAGACCACAAGACCATCCTCCATAGAGACACCACGGTGCCGTTCCAGAAGCAGCGGGAATCAAGACCCCCTTTATTTTCCAGTTTGTCTCTGATTGCCATTTGCAGTCAGAATTACACCTGGGACCGAGCATGCCTCCGGTTTCCGTGGGGGAGAGGGTGTGGAATAGTGGGTGTGGGATGAGGTTTCCTGTTAATATGGGTATATGGAGCTCAAGTGATTATTGAATAAATAAAAGTGACTGAATTTATGCCCCAAACTAGTGAAGTGTGTTTGCTTAGGAAAAAGTCCAGAAAGTTATACAACAAAAAGTCATTAGTCATTGCCCCTAGCTGGTAAGATATCAGGTGATACTATTCACTTTTCTTCTCATTTATCTACATTTGCCATTTTTTCCCTACAGTAAAAACTCATGTAATTCCTTGAGTTATTAAAACATTTTTATAGTAGCTCAAAAATAATTATTATCTAGCGGTCCCAAGAAAAGGCTACATTATGCCTGCTCTCATCTATCTGTTCCAGGGGGTGGAGAAGCATGCATTATGTTTTGGAAAAATTTGTCTTTTTTTTTTTTTAAAGATGTTATTTATTTGCTTGAGAGACTGTGTGTGTGCATTGAGGAGGTGGTGGAGAGGAGCAGAAGGAGAGGGAGAAGCAGACTCTACTGGGCAGGGAGCCCAATAATGCCAGGCTGGATCCCAGGACCCTGGGATCATCACCTGAGCTGAAGGCAGACACTTAACTGACTGAGCCACCCAAGTGCCCCTGGAAAGATTTTTCTTTCTTTTTAAAAAATATTTATTTAAATTCAATCAATTAACATATAGTGTATTATTGGTTTCAGAGGCAGAGGTCAGTGATTCATTGGTCTTATATAACACCCAGTGCTAATCCCATCCCATGCCCTCCTTAATGCTCATCATCCCGTTACCCCACCCCCCACCCACCTCCCCTCCAGCGACCCTCAGTTTGTTTCCTTTAAGAGTCTCTTATGGGGATCCCTGGGTGGTGCAGCGGTTTGGTGCCTGCCTTTGGCCCAGGGTGCGATCCTGGAAACCCGGGATCGAATCCCACGTCAGGCTCCCGGTGCATGGAGCCTGCTTCTCTCTCTGCCTTTGTCTCTGCCTCTCTCTCTCTCTCTCTCTGTGACTATCATAAATTAAAAAAAAAATTTATATAAAAAAAAAAAAAACAAACTTTGGGGATCCCTGGGTGGCGCAGCGGTTTAGCGCCTGCCTTTGGCCCAGGGCGCGATCCTGGAGACCCGGGATCGAATCCCACATCGGGCTCCCGGTGCATGGAGCCTGCTTCTCCCTCTGCCTGTGTCTCTGCCTCTCTCTCTCAATCTGTGACTATCATAAATAAATAAAAATTAAAAAAAAAGACCATTAAAAAAAAAAGAGTCTCTTATGGTTTGTCTCCCTCTCTGATTTCGTCTTGTTTTATTTTTCCCTCCCTTCCCCTATGCTCCTCTGTGTTTCTTAAATTCCACATATGAGTGAGATCATATTGACCCTAAAGATACCAATGTAGTGATCCAAAGGGGCTCCTGTTCCCCAATGTTTATAGCATCAATGTCCACAATACCTAAACTGTGAAACAGCCCAGATGTCCACTGAAAGATGAATAGATAAAGAAGATGTGGTATGTACATATATATATAATGGAAACATTTTCCTTAATCACAAATGGTTAAAATAGAGAAGTTAAGTGCCTACTTGTGCGTGTTCAATTGCCTGGAGAAAATCAATTAGCAGAATCAACAGAGCAGAGCTTGACCCACGATGAGGGAGACCGAGCCACACGGGGCTAGTTAAATGGGTGGAAGACATGCAGGTGAGGCCAGGTATGGAGCATGGTTTCTGAGTCTCTGAGGACTGCTATGGAGCAGACGGAGCCAGGGCCCCTGCGGTGCAGAAGTTTCGAGGGATGACATGTCAGGTAGGCCATATACAGAAGCCCTTTCCAGTACGTCTGTGAATGGGATCTTAGGAAATGCTGAAATGAAATGACTTCAAACTTCAACTGACAAAGATGTTTTGTCTGTGTCTGATTAAGTCATCTTAAACAGGACAGGAGAGTCAGTGAGGATGGGCAGCAAGGAAAGAAAAGGTAGGACAGCTAATCCAGCCAAGAGGCTCCAAAGAGAGAAGACAATTAGGGCATGCCTAACACCCACAGTCATGGCCACTTTGGGAGGGCTGGGTTCTCGCTGAGTGGACATGTGGAGACAGTGCAGGTCCAGGTGGCATAGGTATGCAAGAGACACGGGGAGGTCCAGCTCAGAACAAAGGGGCCTTGGGGAAGGGAGGGGTGAAGCTCAAACACTAAGCCCACATAATGCATTTGTGCAAATTAGGGAAAGGTGCCCCAACTGGATGGATGCCACTCTGCGCTAAGGGACATGGGTAAATTGAATGTGGGCTGGATTTTATCCCTCCACTGGCCCCTTTAGACAGCTGCCCTTGTTCAGTAGACAGCCTGTGCATTTGTACATGGAGGTCCTAAGCCACCATAGCACAGTGATGGATGGCTGTTTGTCCACAAATGACTTCAGCCAGCACTGGGGATACAGGAGCAGAATGTGGTACCCAAGTGAGGAGACCAGCCCCATGTATGGCGCGGTACAGAGCCCAGTTCTAAGGCCAATAGTGAGCGGGAGTTGGAGTCAGGGAAACTGAGACAGCGTTTTGTTTGTATGGATGGTGGCAACAATGCAGGCAAATGGCTGGAGGATATGACTTTGGGGCTACCCATGCCTTCAGGGCATATCTCCCTGGACATGAGACGCCCCTGGAGTGTCCTGCCTGCTGAAGTCCTGCCTGATTTAGAGGGAGGGGATCAGAGCAAGGGCAAGCAGAGTGGACTTGTGGGAGCATCAGTGAGCCCCACCAGGGGCCAGGACTGGCAGATGCTGACCAGATACCAGACCTACTAATCATTTTTGCTATTCTTTATGGCTGGACGAAGAATCAAACTTGAGCATGTGTTCGAATCATCTGGAAAGCTTGCTGGGCCCGCCTCCAAGTATCTGATTTAGTAGGTCTGGGGTGGAGCTGAAGGATTTGCATTTTGTACTTCCAACAAGTTCCCACATGTTGCTGACCACACTCTGAAGGGCACTGCTCCGTGGGCATTTCTGGGAGGTGGCCAACACTCGGCTCCTGTCTGCTTCTCCTGGTCAGCTCTGGGGCCTTGGAGGGTCCCTTTACACCCCCCTCCCCGCCTTTGTGAGGTGCACTCCATCTCCTCTGCCTGGTTGGATTTTATACCTGTTCCCTCCTTCTATTCTTGACTTTCTCTGAAACAACTGATGTCCCTGAGGGAGAAGAATTGGCCACTCCCCACTTTGGGGAGCGGTAGGAGCTGGGGTGATCCTATGACCTCCTGCTCCTGCCGCCTCTGTGCCCAAGGGGCAGCCATGAACCCCAGGGAGTCCGTGATTCTTTCCTTCCCCTGACATCCCGACGGAGCCCTAAATCAGCTCTGTTCGATTGAAGAGTCAGCCTTCTAACTGGAACATGTTCCTGCCACCGTCAGGGTCCGAGGGTCCCCCACTATAAAGGGAAGCTGCCCCAGATACTCCCTAAGACCCCTCCCAGTTCTAGCATTTCTTGACTCTGAGGAGAAGATGGATCAGAGGAAACAGAGGGTTTGCTGGCAAGGGGTGGGGTGAAGGTGATGTCAGCTGTGGTGAGCTGGGCCTGGGAAGGCAGGGTGAGTCACTGGGCATGACAAGGAAGGGATGGGGAGCCAGGGAAGGCTTTAACGAGGAGTCATGTGGTCAAACCGCTGGTGAGAAGGCTGGGGCTGGGCTTTGGGGCCTGTCAGGCTGCTGGATGGTGTCATGTAGCCTCTGGCCCAGGGGGCTGCGCCTATGGGACACCCATGGCTCTGGCTGGATCCCTAAGGGGGTGATGGCTGCTAGGGCCCTGACCCGGGGCTGCGGTGACTCATGGGAGGAGGGCTCGTGTAGCCAGGCCCTGCTGGCAAGTCTCAGCTGCAGGGAGCTGGCTGACCTGCTTAGCTCGAAGCTCCAATCCTGGGGTCACTTCACACACATGCTTCCTGCCCCTCTGCCAGTCTCTGAGTGCCTCAAAGGTAGGGTCCAGGAGCACCCCCTCCCTTTTGTAGTGTCCTGCATAGCTTAGCTTAGCACAAGGCAGGGCACCCACAGGAAGGGAACTCTCCAATTGGGTCCAAAGGCTACTTGGAGAGAGGGTTGGAAGTTGAGGGTCTGCGGGGCCTGTTCCTTCCCATCCCTCTTCCCCTTGTCCCTTCTCTGTCCTTTGTGGCTTTTGCTGAGACTCCTGGTGCTTTGCTGTGCTGGTCCCCAGGTGGACAGGGGCGGACGTCCGGGTGAAAGCACCTTAGCCTCTCAGGCTCACAGACCGGGTGCGCCGCAGCCAAACCCCAGCAGCTGCTTGTGGCCCAGGAGGCACCTGGTTCATGGCTCGCAAACCTCACTTATGGCTCTAGCTGTGCCACAAGCTGGTGCTCCTGATGATCCTTTTCTTTTCTGGCCTTGGCTTCCTCATCCGTAAATTCATAAATTTTGAGCAATTACTCCTGAGCGGTCTGACACAGGGTAGGGGCTATGCCAGTGGTCCTGTTGTTGTTGCAAATCACTATGGCTGGGGACCAAAGGTGCTTGCATCTCCGCCTTCCTGGGGGTTGGGCCCAGAGCTCTGGGGAGATGTTTGGTGGGTGCACAGGCATCTTTGGGCCTTGAGAGAATAGAAGGTGCTGGGAGGGAACCTGAGGTATGGGGGGGACTCTGAGTGGGTCATAGTTGGGGGAGGCCAGGGGTTCCTGGTCAGGTGGGGGCTAGCTTGAGAGGTTATCTGAGGGCACAGGAAATATCTGGAATCTATGGGAATGGGAACTCAGGTCAGAGGTCACCTCAAATTAAAATTTAAAAAGCCCTCTGTATGAAGGGAATCAAAGGAGGTAAAGACATTTGCTCTTCCGGAGTCTCCGGCACCCAGATGTTTGCAGTTAAAATTCTTGTGGGGGCAGACGATGGGCAATGAGAGCGGCCCTTGAGGCCCCGTGGGGTGGGGCGGCGAGGCCTGGGGGCTGAGTGTGATTCTCAAGCACCCTCCAGGACGTTCACCCCAGGCTTTACTGAGCAAGCTGGCGCTGGGGGGGAATGGGGAGCTCTGAGCTCCAGGGCCCTCCTCTGTCCCCCACCCCCACTCTCAGCTGGCTTCTCCCAGAATGAAACAGGATCCGGATCCTGCTCTGGTCTGAGCCAGGGCAGCTTGTTAGCTGAAGGCCCAGCTCCTTCAGATTTATGGTCTGGAGCCCCTCACTGGAGGGCCAAGGCCTTTTGATCTGAGCCCAGGGTGAGGGGCAGGGGATTCCTGGGTTTTAATTGGCATCAGCCCGCTGATGCTGACCAGGACTCCCAGCCCCAGCTGCCAGGGCGGATACTGATTGGCTGTGCAGGGGTCTGGGAGGAGGACAGGGGTTTGGGCCGGCTCTGGGGGCCTCAAGTGCCAAAAGATGGGGAGTGAGAATTAACAGCTCTGGGGGATCCTCTTCCTGCAGCACCCTCAGCCTTGACCCATCCCTGACCCCGACCTCTTCACTTCCCCCTTTGACCTCCTCTAGACCCACTGTCATGTCCTTCCTGGGGGGTGGGGTGGGGGTGTGGGGGGCTGTGGGGGGGTTGCCCTGTGCCTAGCCTCCGTGAGGCTACAAGGCCAGTCTAGCAGGCCGGCGAGATACACCCAACTGGAGCTAACAGACAAGATAATAGACTGTGCTTTGAAGTCATGGACTCAGGCAGCCCAGGGTGTCCATTTGCATGAGGGTTTTATTATGTTTTGTTCTTTTGTTTTCTGGCTGAAGGAGGAGGAGGGAGGTATATGTATGGGATACTTGGAGACAGACTTTAGGGAGAGGAGGGGGAGGAAGAAGAGTGGGAAGGGGAGCCAGGTATTCCAAAACCTAGCTAAAAATCCGGGTCTTTTCACATCTGTGCCCCAGTAAATTCTCTTTGGGCTTAAGTTAGATGGAACTGGGCTTCTCTCTTGAACAAGGTGAGTAGCAAACAAACGCATGAATGACAATGTTGCTGAACATGGACGCCTTTCCTCAAGCATCAGGAGGGCATCCACTCCTGGCCCACACTGGGGCTTCACAGGACGGGCAGGAGCCAGGACAAAGCTCCCATACTCAAGAGTTGACCTTAATGTCGAGGAGCCACCCTTCCAAAGTGAAAGTGGCCGGAACATGCTGTCACTGGAGTGGAGAAGGCAGAGAAGGAGAGACCAGGGTGCAGATGGCTGCAGCGTGAGGCCGGAGTGTGTCCAGGCCTCCAGGACAGCAGGCCCACCTTGCCCTGCTGGCCTGGAGAAGCCTCAGGGGCAGGCTGAGGAGAGAGATGCTGTCGCAACCCAGTGACCCAAGTGACGCACCCTGGGCTGCCTGGCTTTGGGGAGACAATAGTATCTCACTCGTAAAAGATTGACGAGGTTCTCCCAGGCAGAGCGAGGAGTGAGGGTGTCAGATAAGGGATGGGGGTTGTGACTGAGGCAGGAAAGCAGGGCACAGATTCACCAAGGCCAGAGTCCATTTCTCTGTAGGGCCTATTTAAGACCAATTGTTCTAGGATGCCCTGGTATTGTGTTTCTTCACATCCTCCCTCATCTTCCCCCATCACTCAATTTCTTATTTCTGTGAAGTCCTAGACACTTCCTAAGGATTCTCTAAGTGGAGAAATTGTGCCTCACATATCTGACCAGGCCGGATGAGGATGCATCCCGGACTACATGTTACACGCTCAAGGACCTCCTTCCCACCAGTTTTATTTGATTTTTTATTTATTTTTTTAAAGATTTTATTTATTTATTCATGAGAGACACACACAGACACACACAGAGAGAGAGAGAGAGAGAGAGAGAGAGCGGGAGAGGGAGAGACACAGGCAGAGGGAGAAGCAGGCTCCATGCAGGGAGCCCGATGCGGGACTTGATCTCAGGACCCCGGGATCATGACCTGAGCCAAAGGCAGATGCATAACCACTGAGCCACCCGGGTGCCCCCCCTGAGCTGTATTGAGGCATAGCTTACATAGAGGGAAATTCACCCATTTTGAGCATACATTTTAGTAAGTGCCACCAAATGGGGATAGCCATATCCCTATCACCGAACAAGATACTGAGTATCTTTACCCATGCCCGTAACGACGTCCCCTCATGCCCCCTGTGTCCGGTCAGTCCCCACCTTCTCTTTCCCACCTCAGCCTTCCACTAAACAGCTTTCTGGAGCTGTGGCTTTGCCTCTGCTGAGTTCACGTACACAGAACTGCACACGGGGCCTTCTGTGTTAGTCTCCTTCCTTTCAGCGCCTAAGCTTCTGGCTACTGCCCTGGCGATGCCCCTGGGCTGTTGGGGTGCGTTACCATCTTGTCCCTTTTTGTTACTGAGAGTCAGGGTGCGCTCCCAGCTGAGGCACATCTACGTCTCCCGCCTTGGGAGATGAAGCCTGAAGCGGCAGGAAGGCACACCTGTCCCACTGAGAGGCCCTCTTCACTCTCTGTCACCCTACCTGAGCAGGGAGGGTGGGAGAGAGGCCTGAACCTGCTCACCCCCCGGGAAGAGGGGGTCCAGGAACCTGAGAGCCAGGGAGTTGAAGGGACCTCCTCACAATAACATCCACTGTGGCCTAAAAGCCTGCTCTCCACACTTGTCCAGTCCTCACTGAAGCCACGTACCGGGGGGCCATGGCCCCACTTGACAGCTCGAGCAAGTTCACCCCTAAAGACAGACTACTTGGGGGTCACAGCACTACTGGCGGCCAGTTAGGATTGAGGCCTCCTCAGTCAATGGGCCTCCGAAGCCTCCGCTTCCCCACACTGTCTTCCTGAGGAGGTGGGACTAGCTGGGAGTCTGGGGGGTCAGAGGCCGTGAGAGCAGCAGGGCCCGAGGGTGGGGGGTGCAGGTAGAGTCTTCTGAGGCTGGTAAGGACCCTTCTCAGAGTACCCGGTGGCTGGTGGCAGGCGGGCTGGCTGCCTCCAGGGCCTGTGGGGGAGGGTGGGAAGCTCCCCCAGCTCCTGAAGGCTGGGGGTGTGCTCCCCATTGCCCTGGGGCATCCGAGGTGAGCTCTGAAGCAGGCAGCTTTGGAGGGATTGAGCTCACAGACTAAGAAGGGAAGGTCCCTGTTGCCCCAGGACCAGGGAGTCGGGCCCCTTCCCACTGTGCCACCAGGTTCCTGCCTTTGCCAAGGAGCGTCAGGAGCAAGGTCATGTCAGGTGGGCCTGAGGGATGGGATCAGGGATGCCTCGGGGACAAACGCTTCTGGTGGCTTCTTGCAGCCTGGGAGCACCTCCTGAAGTTCTCTGCTCAGCTATGATTCTCCCCATGCTGCTCCAGAGGGGCCGTCGTGTGGCTGGAAGTTCAGAAACCTGAGCAGTCTCGGCCCTGCCTCTACCTGACTGGGACTGCTCCCTACCCCTTCCTGGGTCTCAATTTCCCCATCTGTAAAGGAAAGCAGTTTGAGAGACAGAGGATACGAGTCCTGCTGCATCTGATTCTAGATCTTCGTGCAGCCATCAGTGGGTCAGTGAGTCAGAGAGGCCAAGAGCAAGAGGCCCCCCCCCAGGGAGGTGCAAGGTGCTGTCCCTCTGGGCTCCGGACACTCTGGGCTCTCCTAGTGAAGCCTGTCTAGGAAGGGGCTTTTAGGGCCCCTCTGGGAACACCCCCTCTGCTCTCTTGCCAGGGCTCCCTGGGGCTGCAGTGAAGACCCGGCCCCGCCAGAAGGCAGGTGGAGAGAAGTGACAGCAGAGCCAGGCTGTGCCAGAGCGAGAGCCACTGGATCGAAACCAGGTCAGCCTCTCGCAGCTCCTGACTATTATCCCGGCGAAACCGGGAGAGCGCACACCTGGGGCCATTTGCTCAGCGTCTGGGTTTTACGATCAGGGCACCCGAGCCGAGGAAAAAATGAGTTCATTCCCACTGCCTCCGCCTCTCGGAAGGGCTGGCTCCGTGTGGCCCACGCGGGCCCTGGGCCTCCGCAGCCTGGCCCCGGGCACCACATCGGGGAATGCGGGAGGAGGCCTGCCCCGCCTCTGCCCCTCGGCCGCCGGCACCCCCCTGCCCTAGGGTGGGCTGCAGGGGCCTGCGGAGGTAGAGGCGCAGGGGACAGAGCTGACTTTCCCTCGTCCAGGTCCCCCAGCACCTATCTCAGACCTAGGGACACAGAAGGCACGTCTTTCACAGACTGGGCTAGAGCTAGAAATGGCACAGATGATGCCCACCTCTCTTGTTTCTGGAATATTCCTTTGGAAGTCCTCGAACACTTGTGCATCCTAGAAGGCAGCCTTCCTTTCCCCTGCCTCCTCCCCCTACCAGGCCTCCCTCTCCTGCTCTGGGCCCTGGCTCCCTGTTGTTCTACCAAAGGCCCCAGCGTGAAGGACGGTGATGCCACAAGAACAGATGGATTTGGGGGAAGCAGTGTCCGCTTTCTGAAAGCTTTGTGCACATCTTGGCCCAGCGATGCCCTTCGGTTGTCATTAAGGGCCGTCCCCTGCCTGATCAGGCTGCAGATGTCTCTGGAACACTGGCTATACTTGCCCCGAGACTCCCTCTCAGGGATCAGCTCTGCTGGATGTCTCAGAGACTTGCCTCTGACCCAAAACGTTCTGCGGCGTACAGCAAACCTTCCTCCTGTCCTGCATCACAGCCTCCATCAGCTGCTCCGTGACAGCTCTTAGCCTCTGGTCCCTTGGCCAGGCGTTGAGAGAGGTTTTCTGGGCCTGAGGACAGAGGCCGTGGGGTGTGGGCAACAGGGTGAGTTGGAAGATGGTAGGGCCAAGGCTGTGGTCCTGGTTCCTGGCGGTAAGGGGTGGTCAGCTGAAAGGAGGGTGGACAGGGCAGCAGGCACATGGAGCAGCTAGGGTGGTCTCAGAGGAGGACCAGAGCTTGAATCCAGGCAGGACCTGAGGATGCAGAGCCCAGAGTCCATGAGCAGCCCAGCTCCCTTCAGTCCTGCTTTCCTGGCTTTGCCTTGGACTGGAAAATAACTACCTCTACCCAATAGCACCACTCTGCACTTCCAGTAGCATTTGTCATGTCTGTGGCCTTCCTGTATCTTTTGCATATACTTCCTATGTCTGGAGAATTTTGCAAGTTATGAGTCCCCTAAGTTAAGGCAGAAGCCAGAACTTTCTCCTCTGCCTGGTGAGGGGCAGTTACTATGACCAGACTCTGCTGTTTACATGTTCCTACATGGGACCTATAGGGGTCCTCTGCTGGAAAGTATGATGGTGAGGGCATCTGGCCCTTCTGGGCAGCAGTGGCAATTTTGGGGCCACGCCTAGAGCAGGGTTATGTGTGGTATGTTGGCACCATTTTGTCTTCTCTGGGCAGCTTCTAGTATGTGGCTTGGGTGTATTGTTCTTGGCTTCATGGCATCCATGACTCTTTGATCTTCTGGGGGTTGTGTGAGCCTCATAATATCTTTTAAAAGCTTACTTTTCTGCATAATCTAGCTAGATAAGTTATGTTGTTTGCAACTAGGATCTCTGATTGGTTTACCTTTTTTCCCCAAAGACCCTAGCTTTCTTAGAAAACTTACCCCAGAAGGGGATAGAGAAGAAATCCCAGCCTATTGGCCCTTTAAACTAGCTGGTATTCATAAAACATGTCCACATCCACCATCCTATTTGCTCCTATATGACCTATCTTAGAGTTGTTAGAGTGTCTCCAAATTCTCTAACCCTTTCTGTAATATTTATTTTTTATTGATTTATTTGTTTTTTTCCTTTCTGTAATATTTAAATGCATTGGCTTGAATCCCTATCACAGATAAGGTTAAGACCTACATCTCCCCTCCCAGTGTCTCGGGGAAGTCTAGGTGACAATGAGGTTTACTCTGGTCTGTCTCCATTGTTCTGCTTCTGCTTGAAGTCCCTACTATTGTCCTCTTCTCCTTTTCTGCATTGCATCACCCCTGCCCAGACTCCCCTCTCCTTCTGGGGTCCTCTGTTCCCCAAAGGGCCACCACAATAAGGCTGAGACCACCAACACTGGCTGTGTAGTAGGATTTAATGAAATTTAGGAACAAGAAGGGGGATATGACATCACATAACAGCATGGTAGACAATCTCTTTTTTTCTGAAAAATGTTTTATTGTGAAATATATCACACACATAAAACATAACTATACATTTTAACAAGTTATTTTAAAGTGAACACCTGTGTAATCATCACTCAAGTCAAGAAATAAGACGTTGCCTCCGGAGGCCTCCCTTGTGCCCCTTGTAAATATTAATCTGTATTGTGAAATATTTCATACATTCAGAAGAGTGTACTGAATGGATAGATACAATCTGAAGAGCAATCATAAGATGAGCACTTGTGCACGTGTTACGTGCAGCGTTACTAGTACCTTAGAAGCCTTTTGTGTGCCACTCCCTGATCAGATCGCCCTCTACCCACAATCCTTTCATTCAGTTTTTCTGTGTGTATATGTCTGCCCAGATAGTGGAGTATTTCGTGTTTGTATCCATCAGCACCCTGGCAGGAAACAGCACACAGCCCGGGGAACTGGGGAAAGATTAATGAAGGGATTATCTAGAAGGTTCGAGCAGAATTAAGGGAAGCCTGGGGAGCCTTTACTACCCTTAGACCTGAGAGATCAAGAGGAGGAAGCAGTTCCCACGACTCAGAGGGAGGGCTCTAGCTCTAGGACAGGGCCCCCTTGAATAGATGGTAGAGCCACCTTCTGTGATGGGACCAGAAGGGACCAGGGCTAATCTGCTTGGCCTCGCTCCCCTTCTTCCTCCACGTCCTGCTGCTACTTCCACTGGCTGGACTCAGATGGACACCAGTGAACCCAACACACAAGAGAGCCCATACAGGTGATTGTAAAGGTCAGCTCCTGGGTTTGGAGTGGGGTGGAGAAGGGTGAAGAATGGATCTGGATTAGGGATGGGAGAGGGGGACAGACAGAGGGAATTGAAAACTGGAATAGCAAACACAAACCTGCCATCTAAGGGAAAGGCTGTTGGTGTTGGTTGGAAATAGAAGATAAGCTGAAAGAGTCCCTGGGCCACTGTGTGGTTTTGGAATTGCCAACAATTTACAAAAGCCCTTTCTGGGGACATCGCTGGACAGGGCCCTGAGTGAGCCAAGGGTATCTGGTAGGGTGGGCATGAGCCACATGCAAGACACCTGTCAGAAGAGTGAGCTGCTTTACACATTTCCGTTCATTATAAGCTCCCTACAGCTTACATCCTGTCTTCAGGAGCAGGATAAACCAGAAAGTCCTGTCCGGTGGCCACAGGCCAGGACAGGAGGGCATGCGCTTCACCAGCACATGGTCAAGACAAGCCCAGGGCAGAGCAGATTTGGGCCAGGCCTCTGTCCTCAGGATGGAGAGACAGCCCAGAGCCAGTGGGCTTGCAGGCGGTGGGAAAGCCTTCCTGGGGGTGGCTCTCTGCCTCCTCTCTGGGGTGGCCCTGCTGTGTCCTTTCTTTCCCTCTCAGTTTACTCTAAGTTTGTCCTGTAGTTTCCTGAAAAATATTACCCAGGAGGGATTGTGATGTCGCACATCTAGAATTATCTTTATTCTTATACATTATTGGTCATTTGGCCTGATGGAGGATTCTAGATTGGAGACTATTTGCTCTACCATCTCAGATACTCCTTCATTGTCTTCCTGTGTCCCAGTCCTGCTGATGAGACAATCACAGCATGTGACCTGTTTTTTGTCACCCCATCATTCTTGGAGAAGCCTGTCTAGGGCCCTGTTTGTGTGCAATGTTACACAGCTGTGCCTGGTATGGGTCTGTTTTCACTTTTTCTCCAGGCTCTTCTCTCTGTGATGTTGGATCTCCTGGACCAATCCTCCAATAGCTGAAATCTTTTCTCTCCTACTTTCTATTTCTAGGTCTTCCCTGCCCCCCCCCTTCTTATTTTTAGGAGAATTCCTCAACTTTATCTTCCAAACCTACTACTGCTATCATGTCTTCAATTTCCAACAGCGTTTTGTTTCTGTTCTCGGAACATTCATTTTTTAAGTCATCTTGGGTGGGGCTTGCCAAACATTGTCTTTGCTGGAGACAGATCTGGGTGTGCCATTTGTCAGGACACCCCCAAATATCAGCACTAAGCTTTTCCCCTTGAATCTTTTCAGAGGAGACCCTTCTAACCTCCTGCTCAGAGGGGAAAGCTATATCTGTCAGCATTTGAGGGGTGCCTGGAGCAGAGGGAGTGCTGGGGGTGGGATCACAATATGCACAGGATTCCCTAATTTCCCTGCCTTCTCTTCAGCAGCCCCCAAGCTGTGTCTAACCCCCAGCAGGGTGGCGAAGGGGAAAGCGTTCCTGGGATCTGACTGTTCTTGAACAACCTCCAACCACACCCCCTCTTGTAACTCACTCTTTCCCCCCAGCCTGCGAAGATTCCCACTACCCCAGTTTCTGAGGCTTTGGGGCATCTCACTTGTGCCCCCACACCCCCCACTGCTGGCTTTGGACTAAGCTTTCTCTTTCTGTTGGTAGGTCAGTTACTGATGCTCATCTGCCAGCTTCCCAGGTTTGGTTGTGGCTATTTCCTCTTGGGTTGTCCTCGAGCTTCCCTTCTCTCACTGTTTTAGTGAGATCTGGGGGGAAAGTGAAGCTCCATGTCTCCGTTTAAGCTGACACCTCAACCCGAAACCCTCAAGTACTCGCCTTCCGCAAGCCCCCTAGGCATGCCCTCTCCTCCCACTGGGCAGCTTCCCCCAGTGCATGTGGTTGGGTGCCTCTCCTCCCAGGCCCCCACCCTGCCACAAGGTCTGGGCACACCCCAGATCCTTCTCAACATCCTCCTTGAGCTGTCCGGTCTCCTGTTCTCCTCCCTCTTCATCCAGACCCGATCGGTCTGGTCCACCTGAGGAGGCCGCACCTGCTCTCCAGTCCCAGGCCACTGAGCCCTCCCGCATGTCAGGCAGCACGGAGCTGGCCGGTGGTGGCCCCTCGGAGGGGTAGTGGGTGCGGGCTGACACTTCTGGGGTGCAGGGCCACGGCTCCTCCATCCGCCCAGTCCGGCACAGCCTGGGGGACACTGCGAGGCGCGGGGTGGCCTCAGCCGCCCTCTGCTTTTATCCTCGAAGGTTTCCTCTGAAGCTCCAGAAACTCGGCATCCCCTGGAAGGGAAGGGCGGCTACTGCTCCCAGGGGCCACCCTCAACCCAGGGGTCTCTGAAGAGGTGAGCAGACTCTCTTCCTCCAATAGGATGAGCCCGAGGTGTGCCCCATACATTCCCCGGGGAGTGAGCCCCAGATGCCCCAAGGCAGGTGCCCAGCCACCCCCACTTCTTCCTGGAAGCCCAGTCCCAATAAACTCTTTGGGGCTCTGCTAATGGGGTATCCCAAGCTGCTGCAAGGATACGGCAGGTAGCCCTTTACGTTTCTGTTCTTAGGAACCTTCCTCCAGCTCCCAAATCCACACCTGGGCCTCACACACCCTCTCCGCCTCATCCTTTGCCTTCATCCAGTGTCTGGTGGCCACTGCAGGGGCCAAGGTCAGCCAGCCCCCCCACCCCCACCCCGCGAGCATTGGGTTGGCCTCACCGACTCTCTCTTGAGAGTGACAGCTGCGTCCTCTATACTAGTCCTAGTCCTCGTCAGCCTCTCTGCCTTCTCTCCAGATCTGGGCAGGTTGTGGTGGTAGGAAACAGCCCTGGGGGTTTGTAACACAAGGGCCTTTCTGCCCCAAACGCTTCCCGCAGGCCTGCCAGGGAATGGGGTTAGCTTGGAGTCCTAACAGCTACTGGGGTGCGGGAGGCAAAGGGGTGGGGGCGGCCATGGAGGAAGCAGTTGGTTTTTTTCTGATCCTGGGGTCTCTGCTCCCTCCCCACCCACTTCTCTGCCGGGGACAGTGCCCACCCCCATCCTGGCACAGATCCGGCTCCGAGAGGGGCTCCTGAGTTTTGAGACTCTTCTAGTCTGAATCTAATCAGATTCATCTGGAACTTTGTCTCTTTGAAGGAGCAGTCCTTCCATGATGGATAGTCAAGAAGAGACAGACTGACAAGGGAAAGACAAATATGGAGAGACAGGAGGACACGGGAGGTGGGGTAAAGGCAGGAGAGAGGGATGGGGGCTCGAGGGGAGCCCTTGGGAAAAGTGTGAGGTACCCATCCTCTGTGTGTAAGCAGGGGAGGGTTCCCAAGTAGGGGGAGCCTGGCTGTGCTGGTGGGGGTGGAGGAGGGTCAGAGAAGGAAGGGACAATGTTGTTCTCTGGCACAGCACGGGGGTGGGAGCTATGACACCAGGGCTCCAGGCCCCCTTTTCTGTAGGCTTGCTGGGTGGCCTCAGGCAAGACCTTCCCCTTTCTGGGCCTCTGTGGAAAGAGGAGACTGGGAAAGCTCATCTTTCCTTTAGCCTGCATCTCTTATCTTTCTCTGCTCCTTCCTCTCCCTTTCCTGGAGATTGCCTCCTCCACCCAGCCTCTCTGACTTTTCTCGCCTCTCTGGCTAATGGCCCTCCAGTCACAGCCTGGGCTCCTCTGACAGCAGGACCTCAGCCTGTTCACAGTGCACTCTGGGGTTCTCTGTTTAGGAGGTAGGCTACCCCAAGGCTGGGAGCACTTCTGAGGCAAGGACCACCTCTGCTTTCTTTCCACTTCCCTCATGCAGACTCTGTAGCCCTGAGGTCTGTTCCAGGGAGGATGAAGAAAGCAGGAGCTGGAAGATCCTAGAAGGTGCATCTGCCCTGGGAATACGGATGACAGGGCCTAGAACAGTAGGGCACCAGAGGAGAGCTTCTGGGCCCTGGCTCAGGTCTTGCTCAGGCAGACTTACAGACAGCCACTCCCAATGCTCTGTGGTCAGTGCCAGGATGTGGAAAATACAAGGTAAAGTGGAAGCCCAGAGAAGGTGTGATGGGTGCAGCTGGGAGTGTGGAGAGGGACCACAGGGGAAAGTTAGGGAAATGTCCTGGACTGAGCTGAGCCTTGAAGAATGAGTAGGTCTTGGTCAGGGGGAAGGAGGGATGGAAGGGGATGGCTTCAGGCATGGCCTCTGCTGGCCTACATGGTAGCTTTGTGTGAATTAGACAGAAGTGTTGCCCCTGGGTGGACATGGCCCCACACCTGTGCACACGGCATGGCCTGGATCTGAGCCCCAGAGTGACTTTGCAGTCAGCCGTTATTCCGCCTACCAGAGTGCAGAGCAGCTTGCTGGGCCACAGCTCAGGGTGATTTCTGGAGGCACAATGACTCCCGAAGATGTCCACATCCCAATGCCCCGAGCCTGTGAAGGAGCTACTTCACATGGTAAGGAGACTTTGCAGATGTAATTAAATTAAGAATCTTGAGATGCAGAGATTATCCTCGATGATCTGGGCTGGTCCTAGGTGCAGTCACAAGGGCCCTTCTAAGAGGGAGGCAGGGGTGTCAGCCTCAGAGAGAGAAGATGTGGCACAGAATCAGAGGTCAGAAAGAGAGAGATTGAAGATGTTACCCTGATGGCCTTGAAGATGGGGGAAGGGGCTATGAGCCAAGGAAGGAGGTGGCATTTTGAAGCTGGAAGTGGTAAGGAAATTGATTCCTTCCTAGAGACTCCAGAAGGAACATCTTGATTTTAGCCCCTTAAAACTCATTTTTGGACTTCCGGCTTCTGGAACCGGATGATAACCCATCTGTGCTCTAGGGAGCCACTGCGTTTGTGGTAGGAGCTCACACGTGAGCCATGGTGCTTTTGGAGAATGGCTATGGGCCACTGTGTCTGGAGCCCCGAGTGGGTGAGAGTGGGGATGAGTGAGCATTCCCGGATTACTCAGGGCCTCTGAAGTCCTAGAAGACAGACACCGCAGGGGGCAGAGTCCTTTCCTGCCAGCCTCATCCTCTCCTCCTTGCCTCACCCACCTGTTGGGGCCAAAGCTCCAAAGGGCCACTGAGATAAGGTTTTGACTTTGGAAGAAGAGCAAATGCTAGAGAATATTCGTGAGGGTCTAGTTGGGAAACGGTTATTGGCCTCCTGTGTATGCCCAGCATGTGCACACCCATACATGCACACACATACATGGAGAGGGGCACTAGCATGCCTGTCTCCTCGTCAGCCTTCTCCCTCATAGAGCCAGGGTGAGGCAGCTCAACCTCAGCAGTCACAGGTGCCCTAGGTGCGGCCCTGTGGGGCCTATCGATGCCAGGTCTCCAAAGGCCCTTTGGGGCAACCGGGTTGTGGAGCTGGGGTGGATCTCAAAGATCTGAACCCTGAGCGGGGATGCCCTGGGAGTGCAGGAAACTGAAACTGATTTTTCGTTTATCTCTGTGTTTACTGCTTGGGTGAAACTCTGGTCGCTTCATCTGAAAAATCAGGATGAATCAGATTGATCACAAAGCCCGGTGTCCGTGGTGTGCACCCCCTGCGCCAGCCACCCAACCTCACACGTGATGCCCCAGCTGCTCTGAGCCACTCCAGTTCTTGGAACCTCTCCTGCTTCCTCACCTCTGCAGACAACTGGCTCTTCCTTTTTCTGGGCACCTTTTCCACTCCTAATCTGCTTGGTCAACCCCTCCTGAACTCCCAGGTTTCACATCCATGAACATCCACTCCCCCAGGAAGCCCCGCCACCTGCGCTCGGTCCAGCTCTCCCACCACCAGCAGCAGCATCACAGTCTCTTCTGGAGGCAGTGACAAAGAAGCTCAACCCAAACTGACATAAAGATGCCACATGTTGGGATACCTGGGTGGCCTAGCGGTTGAGCATCTGCCTTTGGCTCAGGGCATAATCCCAGATTCCCGGGTTTGAGTCCCACGTCGGGCTCCTAGCATGGAACCTGCTTCTCCCTCTGCCTGTGTCTCTGCCTCTCTCTGTATCTCTCGTGAATAAATAAATAGAATCTTTAAAAAAAAAAAAAGGTGCCACATGTTGGCTCATGAGCCTCAAGGCTGGACTTGCTGCAGGCGAGACTTCACCCGGGAATCGCCCAGGAGAACCTGTCCTCCTGCCTCGGGTGGCCTAGACCTGTGGTCCCCAGGGCAGCTGCAGGTTGTTCGGGACCACACACTCTCCCATCAAATTTTATATTTAAGTGTATATTATTTATGTTAGATATTTCATATTTGTATTATTAAGTGTTATTGTATTATTAAAATTTATGCTTTAAATATGAATTTCATATACAATTGTGAAATTTTCATAGAACATTTGCATATGAAATTTACATGTATAAGATAAAGAAGGAAAAAGGAGAGAATTTTACAGGAAATGCTGTTCCCTCTCCTCCTCTTCCTTCTCTGCTGGCCTGGGTCCTCGGGCCACGGTGAAAAGGAGTTCTAGCAGAAGCCTTAGAGGAGAAGCTGTGTAAAGCTTAGTGGCGTGTCTTTAAGAACTCAGTGTCGGATGGAGAGCAGTTAGCATTTCAAATGTGCGTACCCTTGATCCGACAATTCCACTTTTATGAATGTATCCTGTAAATACATGACACTTGTTCAAAATAACACACTCACAGGGTTATTCATGGTAGCATTATTTGTAATACTGAACAGTTCAAAAAAAGCTTTAATTGCCATTAAGAGGTGATTGGTTAAACAAATTATAGTATATTTATATAATGGAACTATGATAATGTGCTGTCATTAGCCAAGAATGAGGTATCTCTCCAGTGGTATGAAATGAGCTCTAAGATATGTTAAATGAATTTTTTAAAAACCCCAATGCAGAACATTGTGCAATCATTTATACAAAGACTGTGTGTGTGCAATCTGTGTGCATGTGGACACATGTGCATGTAGACTTATATTATTCATAAAATATAGTATGTCTGGAAGGCACAAAATGTGGGCAAGGGGTATGCTCCTCTGGGAAGGCTCTTAGGGTGGCATGAGCGCCTTTTGAATTTTGTACAGTTTGTTTATATTTACCTATTCTAAAATAATAGTAGTTTACTCTTTTAAGCACTTCAAAATAATGAAAACAAACAAAAATAAGTGAAATGCTTAGAACAGAGTCTGGCATGCAACAATCACTAGGGAATCACTAGGGAATTTTAATTTTATTTGGCCTGCTTTGCCCAAGGCTGACCCAGGTACTTCTCGATGTTCTCACTGTATTGTATCCACACCTTCACTCTGGCATTGTATTAGTGTGTAATAATTGCCCATACCCACGCTTGTCTATCCAACTGGACCAAACATGCCTCCACTATTTTTTCACCTTCTGTATCAAATGGACACACTGGCAGATTCTAGGTTGTTGAGTGAATGAATCTATTAGAGGGAAAAATGAAGCCATAGTCCCTGCTTTCTAGAAGCTCATGGTCTAGTAGTGGACAAGAGTCACATATGACAATGACCCTGTGAGCCTGGAGATCTGGAGGAAAGAGAGAGTCCTGAGAACAAAGAAGTGATCTCAGTTGCAGAGGTGGTATTCAGACCTGCAGATATGGGAGTCAGAAAGAGATGGTTCAGGGCCAACGAAGCACAAAAGCTGCAGCAGAAGCACCGGGTCTGGTATGTGACAATATAGGAGGGACCCAGTCCTGACCAAGGCAGCGGGGCTATGCTCAGTTGGCCCACTGCTCTGTCAGCCAGGCTGGTCTGTGATGTCGGTGACGGATCCTCTCAGCTGGGCTTAGGGCCACCCCATCCCCACCATCCCATGCTGATCTTGGTTCTCTAGCATGGAAAAGCCAAGACCAGACAGCTCTCCTTTATACAACACCCTCCCTCCCTTTATACAACTCCACGCGCACATCCTGCCTGGGCACAGGGCCTTGATCCCACGGTCTTCTGAATGGAGGCCCCTTGACTGGCTGCTTTAATGCATGGGCTGAAAGAAGCCCTGAGTGTGGCAGTGAGTATCTGGCCTTTGAAGGGAAGTTCCAGCCTCATATACCCAACTGCTTCCTGGGTGGTTCCATCTGGATGTCCCAAAGGCACCTCAAAGTCAGTGTCAAGAACTCATTGCCCACTTCCCTCTTGTGAAGGAAGCCTTACCTGTGAGCTCCCAGGTCACTTTTCCTTATAGAGGAGATGACTCAAGGGACTCCAGATAGATTCTCTATCAGCTCTATCAAACTCAGGTTCACTCAAGTCCGGAAGTGCTCTTGATCTATAGTAAAATGTGGGTTATAACCATGCCTAGCTTAGGATTATCTCCTGATAAGCACACTGGATAAATCATGTGGAAGAGTTTAAAAGTGTAAAATGCTATAATGACGGAGGGAGGGACAGATATTTAAGGAAGGGGTATTTGACTTCTGTTGGTTTGTCTACTACTCATTCCTCACTTGGGATAACACGGCCCCTCTTCCTCTTAAGAAACCTATTCCATGTGGTTTGGATGGAGCTGGGCTGCTTGAGAAGTAGATACAAGCCTCAGGCTTAGCCAGTTAGAGAATCTACATCTCTGACCATTAGCATTGGTTCAGAAATGTGCCTGTGACCTCAGACAGGACCAGTCAGAGTCCTCTAAGCTTTTTCTGCCAGAGTTCTTGGCAAAGATAGTTTCTATCCACTTAAATCGCTAAAATCAGTCTGGCCTCCCATATGGGGAGAATCTAGTTGGGAAATACAAAAGACATCATTCTAGCCTCTGAATCCAACACTGCCTGAAGCCAGAACAACCCTGACTGTTCAGTTCCATGCGTCAATCAACACATTACCTTTTTTGTAGCCTGATTCAGTATATCTAAAAACCAAAAAACAAAAACCCCTCTTTTCTATTCATTTTCACCATTCCATGACTTACTTGAAGACTTGATTCAAATTCTTTGTTCAAGAAGCCTGCTTGAGTAACCCCATCATGTAGGATACACCTGGTTCAGATTTCATTACTTTGTACTGGTTTTTCTGTAAGATTATAAACATTTGGGGGAGTATTTCTGGAACCCATGTGGTCCTTCCAAGGAAGCATGGGAGCTTCCAGAGGGCTGGATTGTGTCATGTGAGCTGTGAATATCCGCATCCTGGGTTCACTGCTTAGGGTGCAGTGGGTGAGTGTGTGAGAAGACATAGGCACCTGTGAGAGGGCATGAGGACAAGTGTGGGTGTGTACATGTGACCAGAGCAAAGGTGATGTGCATACCTGTATATGTGGAGAGCCAGCGTGTGAGCATGTAAACAGAAAGGCAGGTAGTGAGACTGGTTCAGGGACAAGTCCCTGCAGGGATGGTGGGAGTGTCCCTGCTTCAGCCTTATGGCCCAGGCACATGTGTGGCAGAGGAACCCAGAAGTGCCCTCTGCAGAGTGGCTGTGGTCTCATGGTGTGGCCTTTGGATGAGATTTCTTTTATCTTCACAACTTAGCTTGGATTCTCCAGCCACAGAGGCCTCAGCCTTTTCATTTCTGACTCCCCAGCACCTAACACGAGTCCTGGCATGTTGTCCCAGTGGTTAATGTTGAAGAAACCAATGAAAGAATGAATGCCCTGCATCAGATGATGGCCTCCCCTCCTTCAAGCAGCCCAGGGAGGAAGTAACACCCCTTCACCAGCCGGGCAGGCCAGATGGTTTGCAGGTGCTGTGCTCTGACCCCCTCACTGTGCTCTCTTCTCCTCTGGCCCTTTGTATGGTCAGGTGTCCCTGCCTGAGACCCGCTCCTCTACCCCCACTCCCCTGCACAGCCTACCATCCGATAGGTCTCAGTGTGGACACAACTTCCCCAGGAAGCCTGCCCTTGCACATGCTCACACACACTCTTGGTAGGTACTTCTTTGAGAGGCCACACGGCACTGGTCCTGGCCTTTATGGAAGCGCTTATCACACTGTGTTATAAATGCCAGTTTGCCTTCATTGCACCTCCACATTTGAATGCCTAGAGCTGGGATCATATCAGATTCTGTTTTTGTTTTATTTCCACTGCCTGGTCTCCATTTGTTCATTTATTCGACAGCTATTTATTGATCACCCACGGTCATGCCAGGCACTATTCTAGATGCAGGCGATATGGAAGTGCACATGACAGAGAGTTTCCCTGCTCTCATGGAGCTTCCACTTTGGTGTGTCGGGAGAGAGACAACCAACAAGCAAGTAAACAAATATTCAGAACACAGACAGATCATTTCAGAGGCTAAGTGCTATAAAAGAAAAGAAATCATGGTGACACCACTGAGAGCCTGGAGATCCTGGAAGTATCAGAGGATACCTCTTTAGGGAGGCAATGTTGGAGTGGAGAGGGCCAGAAAACTGGGGGAAAGTATTCTTCCTTTCTTTTCTTTTTTTTTTTTTTAAGAATTTTATTTACCCGTTTATGAGAGACACACAGAGAGAGGCAGAGACATAGGCAGAGGGAGAAGCAGGCTCCCGTCAAGGAGCCTGATGCAAAACTCGATCTCAGGACCCTGGAATCACGACCTGAACCAAAGGCAGATGTTCAACCACCGAGCCACCCAGGCGTCCCATGGGGGAGAGCATTCTAAGCAGAGGGAAGAGTTGAAAAAACTCCCCCTGGGAGGACACTATACCTTGCCCCCCAAGTTTGGATAGCAGGATGAAGGCTAATGCAGAGGAGGGGTGGGGAGACCTGAGGTCGGAGAGGCAGGCAGGGGCCCTACTTTTGTAGAATGGCAGGCCATGGCAAGGAATATGGGGTTTATTCACATTACAATAGGGAAGTGATATGCTCCTATTTAAAATCTTCCAAAATCACTATGGCTGTTGTGGTAGAAGGGATTGTAGGGGCCAAATGGAAGCTAGCAGTCACATGGGTGAGACATGGACTGGAGAAGAAAGGACGGACCAGGATCCCTGGGTGGTGCAGCGGTTTGGCGCCTGCCTTTGGCCCAGGGCGCGATCCTGGAGACCCGGGATCGAATCCCACATCGGGCTCCCGGTGCATGGAGCCTGCTTCTCCATCTGCCTGTGTCTCTGCCTCTCTCTCCTTCTCTCTCTGTGACTGTCATAAATAAAAAAAAAAATAAAAATAAAAAATTAAAAAAAAAAAAAAAAAGAAAGGACGGACCAGGATATATTGAGTTGAGTTTACAGGACTTGGTGACACGTCTCATGGCTTAGAAGAGAAAGGGGGAAGCCAGGAAGCCTGCTCGTCTTCAGAGACTGAGTACGTGCTGGTGCCAGTTATGAAGATGGGACAGATCAGATTGGGGTGGGGATAGAAAGCAAAAGTTTTGCTTTGCCTGTGTCAGTTTTGAAATGCCTGGTAGATATCCAAAAGAGATGACAAATAGGTATGAGCCTAGAGCTCAGCAGAGAGGTCAGATTTGAAGATGCAAGTGTAGGAGGAATCAACATATGGTGGTTTTAAAGTCTTGATGAGATCATCTAGGTAGAACATGTCTAGAGAATAGTAAAATGATGACCAAGTCCTGACACATGACGACATTTAGAGGTTGACTGAAACCAACAGAGAGGGTCTGAGATAGTCAAAGAGAGACACAGAGAGAAGAAAAGTACGGAGGTGGTTTTCCCTGAAACCAAGAGAACATTTCAATGAGGAGACACAGCCAACCATTCTAGCACTGCTGATAGATCCAACAAGTTCGCAGAGTAGTGACACTGGCTTCAACAATGTGAAGGTTGCTGGAGATCTTGACAAAGTGGTTTTAGTGAAGTGTTGGAAATGGAAGTCCAATGGGGGTGGCTATGAAGAGAATGGGGTGAAGAAGTAAGAGCACTGGGTAGGGAGATCTTCCTAAGGGCATTTCACTGTGATG